CTCCTGGGCGCTCTACCGTCAAGTCGGGCCTGTCCCCCTACAGGCTGCGCTGCGCGGATCGCCTTGTTGGCGACGCACACAGGGCTTGGAACATCATAAGAACACTGGTGGAACAGAAAAGAACCATACTGGAACAAAAATACAGCCCCATTGGAACATAAAAGAACATCAATGGAACAAAAAAGACCACTCAGAACAACAATTCGGCATCCAACTCATGGGTTCAACGCGACATTGAGAAGGCAGCGCGCGACTTAACAGCGATTGCGCAGCGACCGACGTCCCGAGAGGAGGAGCGGGAGGAAGGGGAGGGGGAGGAAAGAGGAGCGGGCGGAGGAGGAGGAGGTGGAGGAGGTGGAAGAGGAGGAGGGGGGCTCTTTTGACTCTTTGATCAAGCACAGGGGGCGGGGGGGAGGGGAGGGAGCGAAGGAGACTAAACGCGTGCCCCGCATGGGGGTGCTTCGGCGCAGGCGAACCCGCCATCGCCTCCACACCACCACACCTCAGCAGGCCAGTGCGCCGCCCCCGCCGGGGGCGGGACGAACCTGGTGTGGCGGGCGGCACGGTCTCGCCTCCCTCAGCTGCGTCCGCGGCCACGGACGAGCTCCCAGTCGCTTGTCCCCGCCACGGCGGCTCTCCTGAACCAGGAGAAGGGAGGGCGAGAAGAATGGGGCACAACGAAGGAGAGGAGGGAGGAGCACGAGGAGGAGGGGGAGGAGGGGGAGGAGGAGGAAAAGGAGAAGGAAGAGGGGGAGGACGACGACGACGAGGAACTCGACAGAAAAGGACGAGGAGGAGGAGGAGGAGGAGGAGAAGCGACGAGGAGGCTGCGGGGCAAATTGCAAACGCTCTCGACTCATGGGCCAATGGGAAAGGTGCTTCACAGCAATGGCTGACACGTAGAGCAACGAGGACGCGCGAGCGAGTCGTGGGGGATCAGTCGTGTTCCAAACCGCAATCACTCGAGCACAGAAGATACACATCATGAATCATGCATGCGTCATGTCCTGCGGCATTCGGCAACGCTGTGACCTCACGCAGGATCCCGGCTGCGCCGTGAGCCACCACGCACGCGCCAGTTCTCGCCCTCGCCGTTCCACATCCTCCTCCTCCCCCCTCCTCCCCCTCCTCCTTCTCCCCCTACCCGATCTCCTCCTCCTCCTCCTCCTCCGCCCTCCCTCCCCCTCCTCACCCGCCTCCTCCTCCTCCCCCTCCTCCTCCTCCTCCTCCTCCTCCTCGCTCCACCCTCCAATCCCATCAGTTGCGGCCTCAACGAGGGCAGGCAATCGCACGATCGCCTCCAGAAACCACATTCTAGTCTCTAGTATTGCGCTTGGCAACGCGAGCAGAACAAAAAAAAACACAGTCAACGAGCCTCTCTACCCGCCGACCAGCCAGCAGCTTTTCTGACTGACCCACGGCACACCTCCTTGATCTAGCGCAACGAACCTTAGACGTCTGATGCACAGTCGCTCCCCATCATCCTCATGTTCCCCTCTTCCTCATCCTGCCCCTTCTTCCTTACCTCCCTTCCCCTCCTCCTCCTGCTCCTCCTCCTTCTCCCTCCTCCTCCTCCTCCTCCTCCTCCTCCTCCTCCTCCTCTTCCTCCTCCTCTTCCTCCTCCTCCTCCTCCCCCACCTCCTCGTCCTCCTTGCCCTCCTCGTCGTCCTCCTCGTCTTGCATCTTGTCCCGTCGAGCTCGCCCTCCCCCTCCTCCTCCTCGTCCTCCTCCTTCTCCTCCTCATCCTCGTCTTCCTTTTCGCCGTTGGCATCCCTCATGCGATCCTATTTTTTACGCCCTATCACCGTCGCCCTGCCTCCTATCTTACCCCCTACCTCCTACTCCCACCTGCTACCTCCCACCGCCCTGGATCAGCGACTTCCTACTCTACTCTTGGCGAGCTCCCTAGGCGCCCTTGGGCGCCTTGGGCGCCCTGGCCCCCTTGGGCGGCCTGGCGCCCTCGGGCGTCGCAGCAGGGGCCCTCTTCCTAGCTGCGCCAGGGGGGGCGGGGGCTACCTTGGGGGGGGCGGGGGCTGTCCGGGGCGCAGCGCTCTTCTTGGCGGTGCCCTTCGTGACGGGGGCGGCAGGGCCCCGAACAGCGGGGGCGCCTGCGGAAACGGGCGCTGCGAAGCCAGCCATCGCCGAAGTCGCCGCTTCCCCCTCGCCCTCAGTCTTGGCAGCAGCAGCGGCGGCAGGTGGCTCATCCGGCGGAAGCTTCTGCATCTGGTCCAGCAGCGCCAAAAAGTGCTGGGGCATTTCCACGTTCTTCGCGCGGAGGCTCCGGAGCACCTCTGCAGCATGAAGCGCCATCTCTCGATTGTTCGGCTTCCGATGGTTCAGCAACTGGTCGAGGGCGTACTCCACGCCGACTGCGGTCTTGCCCCTCTTGCGGCAGATCGCACCGTCGCGGTGGGCCTCCCGAGTCTCCTGTGAGAAGGGGAACCCGCCCTTCTCCAGCATCTTCACCTGTGGCGAAGGCCTTAATTCGAACCCCTTTCAGCGCTCGTTTCCTCCATTTCCGCCTCCATGTCACATGTCCCTCCTCCTCCTCTTCCTCCTCCTCCTCCTCCTCATCCTCTCCCTCCTTCTCCTGGCCCCTGGCCCTGGTTCGCGGCGGCAGCCGCGAGCTGCGCTCGACCAGCCGCGCGACCCCCGGCGCCGTGACGCCAATTCCCCGCGCCCCCGGCGGGCCCAAGGAGGGCCCGCAAGCCGAGGGCGGGGCCGAGGGGATGGAGGCGGGAAGGGAGGAGAGGAGGAGAAGGAGGATTGGGATAGGAGTTCGAGGAGGAGGGGACGAGAAGAAGGAAGGGGCCGGGGAAACAGGGTGATCAGGAGGAGGAGAAGGAGGAAGTGGAGGAGGAGGAGGAAAAGGAGAAGGGAGAAGGGACGACGATGAGGACCAGGGAGATAGGAAGCCAGAGGCATTGCAGCAAGCCCAGCAGTCCTCGTTCAGCGTGCCCCCGAGCTCGGCGATCAGCCCGCCCAAGGACACCTTCGCAGGGTTGTCGATCACCTGCGTCTGGAGATCCCTGCGGACGAGCAGGTCGGGGTCCTTCACGAGGGGGTGGGGCGGCGCCGCCTGGTCCAGAGCCCTGCTGCAGGTGGAGATCTTGTGCTTGATGGAAACGTCGATGATGCTCAACCATTTGCCAGCCCAGGACGTCGCACGTCTCACCGCCTCGGGGTCCCATGCCGACGTGATGCCCCTCAGCCCGGTGACGCCCTTGTAGAACTCCAGCGCCAAGGTCGGCGTGGGGCACCCGTCGGCTGGTAGCTTGGACACGCTATGAACCACCTGGACGAGGAGCTTGTGGTCATTGAGCTTGCTTCTCGTGAGGTCGCAGGATGCGGCCTCAGTCAGCTCCGTGATCGTGCCCAGGATGTCGTCAAAGGGGATCTGGCTGTAGAGATGAATCCTCTCCTTCGCTCTGTCAGCTCCGAACCCCATGTCCACGACTTGCACGCACTTCGCCACCGCCTGCGCCACCTTCTCCATGCCCGGGCCCAAGATGGCATCCAACTTCGCCTGGACCTGCTGGGCGAGCGTGGAGGCGAAGTCCTTCAGCGTGGCGAGGTCGAGCAGGGGCGCCTCCGGGACGGAATTCAGGCTCAGAAATTTGTCGACCGCGGAGAAGTTGGCGAGCGCCATCGCGCTCTTGCACACCGCGTCGGATGGGTTCCATTCCCCGGGCGAGGTCACGGCTGCCCGAATGTGTGTAGAGTTGTCGCACCACATGCACATCGACTTGAGGGCGCCCCCGATAATCTCGATGTCTCCCAGGACCCGAATGGCCGCCCCGAGGGAGTCGCCGAACTGCTTCAACTTGGCCGTGGCCTCAGCCGCGGCTTCAGTCTCGCCTCGACGGGCAGGGAAGGCGGGTGGCAGGATGGGGGGGGGGGGGGGAATGCGAGGCGCAGACGACGGAGAGTAAGAAGGAATGCGTGCGAGGACGAGTGGCAACTAGAGGTGCACATGACGAGAGGAAGGGTGGCACAAAGAGGGAGGGGGGAATAGAATACTGAGGAACTGAGGAAGAAGACGGAAGGAATGTTTGATGCTGAAGGGGAGAGAGGGAGCGAGAGAGCAAACGCCAAAGGAATAGAGCAAGAGGGAAACGTGGATGGAGGGGCACGAGTTTGGACGCGGGGCAACATGAGCCAACATGAACACGATGAAGCACCGCGCCTGCGCCGACTGCGCCACCTGAAATCACGCACGCAAATGCAACGGGCCACTCGGCCACAAGGTCGAAGCAGATGCGGTCGGCCAACTTCCTGGCGTTGCAAGGTAGATCCTTGACCACGCTGAACCCGTTGTCCAGCAAGCACTGCATCTCGTCCCGAGTGGTGATGGCGTCGAGCTCGCGAGCGTCCGTGTAGATCCGAAGCTTGTCCTGGAGGGCCCCACCGCCCGGCTGTGCGGCATTGCCGCAACTATCGACCAGCTTCTGGATCAAGGTAGCTTTCTCGGCGATTTCTTTCTTTGCTGCAAGAGCGGACTTGGCCACCTTCACGAGGTCATGCTTGGGGAACTGGGTCAGGCAATGTAGCAACGTACCAGCCTCGAATGAAACTGCCAAGGCCAGCGGGCCCCGCCGCTCCCGAATCCAATCTCCACGATGGGGCTTGGGCCTCGTCCCGAGGAGGCTCAGGGCAAGCCCTCGAGGGCCTCGGGCCTTGGCATGCGGCATTAGACATTGGCCAGGGCCCTAGGCCCCCCTCTCTTGAGCCAAGGTCCGACGCCCTTCGGGCCTGGCCTTGGGCCACCTCGGGGGCGAGGCCCAAGGCGAGCGAGATCATTCGCGCGAGCGATCGGCAATCGGTCAGAGGTCGATCGCCGATAAACGAGGTCGGTCGGTTCGAGGTCGATCGGCTATCGTCTCGAGGTCGATCGGTTCGAAAACGACGTGGGTCGCGCGTCGGCTTGGTAGCGGCAGCAACAACCGCGGCCCTACGCCTAGTATCGACGCTGAGCGAGAGGCCGCTGGAGACTGGGCAGCCGCGATGACCTCGTCGACGTTGGCCATGGCCCCGTCGCCAAGCCACTGCGACTTCATGTCGACCAGCGTCTGGAACTGGCCAATTTGATTCAACAGATCAGGCGAGAAGCCCGCCACTCCAGCGCTGGTAAACTGGCGGAACAGCTTCGCAAGGGACTCCACCACGGCCAAGGTGTCCATCGTGTCCGAGTTGAGGACGGAGCCGATCGCCTCGGCGGTGAACCTGCGCTGGTAGTTGGCCAACGCCTCTTCCCTGGCCGATGGAAAGCGCAACCGCAACTTTGAGAAAGTGAGCTCGGTGGCAAAGTTGTCGCCATAGGCGGACGCCATGACGTTGTAGTACAACAAGCTGATGAACTCGCAGGACAAACTAACACGAGGCTCAGCTTCTGTAAAAGTCTCGAGGGCAACCCACTGCCGATGGAACGTAGCTCGCCCTGCCGCCATATTGCTCTTGCCAGCCCAGCTGTTCCACAGCACCATGCACGACTCGATCACGTGGAGCTTCTTCTTGAGGATCTCGCAATCCCGGAGCGCATCGGGGGCCGCTGCAGCGACCTTGATATTCGCCGTTGCGAGGTAGCGCCTGATGCACTTGAGCTGCACGGTGGCGTTCTCGTTGAAGAAGATCGATGACTCGTCTGCGTGCTCGAGCTGAGACATGAGACTGCTGACGATCTCAGACAGATCCTTCTCCGGGCGGCCGCGCCTCTTGGGCCCTGTCGCGGCGCCGCCACCGCCGCCTCCGCCGCCCCCAACCCCCGTTGCCTTGGCGGCTCTGGCAGGGGCCTTGCCGCCTCCGTTCTTCAATGCCAGGGCAGCCGACGCGGCGCCGCTGCCCGCCTTCTTGCCCTTCTTGCCCGACCCGAGCTTCCCGTCGCGGACCGCCCCATCGTCGCTCGCCTCGCTGCCAGCACCCCACCTGCGCCTCTGCGACAGCTTGGCGGGCCCTCCTTCGACATTCTGGCCATCCTGCGAATGCTCTCCGTTCTTGGTGGGCGTGGACGTTCTGCCGTCGCCGATCAGGCGCTGCCCTTGGGCACCGCCAGCTGCCGCCGCTGCCATGGCAAGCATCTGGTCGAAGGACGGCCCGGCCCTGCAAGCAGCGATGTTCTCCCCCTGCTCCCTCTGCAGGTCGTCGAACATGGCGCCAGCGTCATCGCTCCCGATGGCGTCCTCGTCGTCACTGCCGCACTCGAGGAGTGTATCGTCGTGGTTCACTTCGTTGCCGAAGACCTCCGAGAGGGCGGCAAAAAAATGCATCGGGCAACGGGCCCTAAGACCCAATACCTTAGATTCTTAGATGCGTTTCCGATTGGACCGCCAGCTCCATCTCAAAGGGAACCCTCGACGAGCCCCACGTGGCCCATGTCCCATGTCCCATGTACATGGGGAATCAAATATCCCACCAACCCCTCAGGGCGCTAGTGGTCTTGCGAGCTCATTCTTGCAACTTCCCGTGAACCCACCGCATCCTCCACCCTCTCCTTGGTCTACGGACCCCTCTGCAATAGCCTTACACAGCGCCCTGCAAAAAAACTGGCGCATACCCTGCAAATACCTTGCAATGCCCTGCAAAACGACCCTGCAATACCCTGCATGTCAGACCCTGCAATCTTGCAATGGCATGCAGTACCCTGCAACGGCCCGGCAATGCCCTGCAAAACGGCACACTGCAAATCTCCCATCCCTGGGGGGGCCCCGGGGCCCTCTCAGCGCTTCTAGAGCCTATGAGGGCTCCAAAAGGGGGCCCACTGGGGCTCCAGGAGAATCCCAAAAGGGCTACGCGGGGGCTCTCAGACGGTCTGGGAGGGCGCGAAGGGGCCCCAGGATGGCACTGAGGGTGGCCGTAGACGCACTGCTCAAGATCTGGTTCGCAAGGTCGGGGACCCGACCTTGAACCAAGGCCCCCCCGGGGGCCTTGCGAGGGCCCGGAGAAGCCCCCGCGCGGGCCCCAAGGGGGGCCCAAAATACGTTGCAGGTTGCTTCGCTCGGTCTCGGGGCCCTCTCGGCGCCTCCCCAGGGCCCTCCGGGGGGCCCCTTGGAGCCCCCAGAGGCCCTCAGAAGCCATCCGAATAAGTAAACCGCAACCCGCGCGTTCCGAAGGCTGTCGGCTCACTTATCCCGGGGTCTTCTGGGGGCCCTCCTGGAGCCCTCCTGGGCCTCTTGGAGCCCCCGGGGGCCATTTGGAGCCCTTCTCAAGGCCCTCGTCTGGATGCTGTTACACTTCCTGGATGAGGCGTCTCGCAGCCCGGGGCGGCAAAGGGATCGAGACTCAACCCGCCTGTTCGAGGTCCATCGGGGTGCCGAGTGGCGCCGGGACAACGTACCCCTTGATGCCGTTGATCCTCTTCTTCTTGTGGCCCTTCCTCTCCTCCTTCGGCACGTCCTTGAACGCTTCCGCGTAGTCCACTTCCGTGTAAAACTTATCCTTGCGCACCAAATTCTCTGCGTACCTACCGCTGGCATGGGGGGTTGGCCGACGCAACGGACAAAGGCGCACATCTTCGAACCGTCGGCCGTCGGTCTTGCACCGCTGAGGCGCTCCTGGAATACCAGCGGGGCACCTGCTGCGACGGCAGTTTGCGTGGGCCTGGGATCGGGGGTGGCTGGGGGGGGGGGGGGCACCTGCGGCGCCTCTTCACGACCTGCCGGGCGACCCCAGCCTTTTTAGCGCTGCCGCTTCCTCGGCGCGGAGGCTGCCAGAAGCGCAGCGCGGGGCTCCAAACGAGCCGCAGGCTAAACACATCAACGAACGACCTCGTGTGCCCCATGCGAAGCTGGAAGCTGGAAGCTGGTGGATAAATAATCCAAGGTCTGGAAGCTGATGGAACACCAACCGTGGATTGGCCATGGATTCGACATCACCGCCGATCTCATCAGAAAAGGACTCCTCCAGGGTCTGAAGCCCCGCGGGCACATCCTTAACGATCGCCCCCACCGTATCTGAAACAACCCAATGCCGCACTATGCCGCTGCCAAACGGCTCCCCCGGCAGCCCCAGACAGCCCGAGACAGCCCAGGACTTCGCATGATTCCCAGGAGGGGGCGACGGCGAGAAGCCTCGCGCCAGGAATCCGCGGGCGGACAACCCCGGAGCAAGCAAGGGTTCGGCGCCGAAAGGCCCCCCCGAGGATCGCCGCGCCGAGCCTGGGAGAACCCCCAGAGATGCCCCGAACAGGGCCCCGAGATAGAGGATAAATAAAGACTGCTGGGAAAGCACTGGTGGCATCCAAGGAGGCCCGCTAGATCGCAAAGTTTAGACTTGGGTTTATCGGCTCGGGGCCTTGCTTTGGGAGTGCGCCCCAGGGCCCGCGCGCGGCCCGCGGCGCCCGAAAATGCCCCGAGCACAAGGAAGGAGGGAGAGAGCGACGGAGTGGAGAAGGGTGGCGCGGCTGAGGATGAGAGGAGGAGGAAGCGGAGGATGGGCAGGAGGGGCAGGAGGGGGAGGGGAGGAGGAGGAGGAGGAGGAGGACGAGGAGGAGGAGGAGGAGGAGGAGGAGGAGGAGGAGGAGGGCGAAGAGGAGGAGGGGGAGGAGAGGGAAGATCTAGGCCAAAAAAGGGGCGTCAATATTTTGCAAAATATTGACGCCTGGTTTTGGGCTTCCCCAGGGCCTCTTCAGGAGGAGGAGGAGGAGGAGGAGGAGGAGGAGGAGGAGGAGGAGGAGGAGGGGGGCGAGGAGGAGCAGGAGGGGGAGGAGGGGCAACAGCCAGCAGAGCGACCAAGATATTTAGATGGCCCGTTTACAATCCTCCTCTCTCGTAGGCGAAGCCGCGCTTCCCCTGCTTCTTCCTGTCGATCAGCACGCGCCGGTGGCCCAAGAAGGCGTCCAGCTTGTCCTTGCACTTCTCGTTCTCCGAGATCACTTCGGCCTTCGACTGCTTGCGTCCGTATTTGCGATCGAACACAACAGGGCAATACCCGCACGACTCGCCCTCGCCGCCCGGGTAAGCCCAGAACATGAGGTGAGAAGGGTCAACCTCGTCGGGGTCGCTGGGGCAGGCGCCGCACAACCATATGCATTTCTTGTTCGGCATCTTGACCTGCCTGCCAGCCGAACTCGCCGCTGCGGGCCCCACCTTGCCTGTCACGCGCTCAGCTGGGAGGGCGCCGAGGCCCCCCGACGCTGCCATGGCCGACTGCTGGGGCAGCTGCAGGTGGCCCGGGCAAGGGCGACGACTGAGTAGACTAAGGTCAACGACCTGAGGAAAACAGCGACGCGACGCCGAGAGACTCGGAGGGGCGGTGGTGTGGTGCCTGCTGCATGCCCCTCGACAGGCCCCCATCCCGCTCGCCCTCTTCCGAATGGGAGCGAATGATTATATGTATATGTGTCTATATGTCCAACTATATAGAACCGAGTGGATATCGATCAGCCGATCTACATATATATATATATGTAACGGTATTACAGTGTTTTTGTAGTTCTGTATCGATTGATCTACGTATATGATACGTCTATGTTGTTATATGTATATATGTCTAAATGTCAGACGATCGTCTATAACATTCATAATCACATATATATATATATATATTTACATATATAAATAATATATATATATATATAATATATATATATATATTCTCATACGCACCTCTCCGAGGGAGTAGAGCTCAGAGGGATTAATGCGTCCGTGCGTCCGTGCGTGCGTGCGTCTTCGATTTTCCCGGCCGTTTCGCTAGGGACATCCTCAAAATTCTGAAAATCGGTGGCACCCCTCACGCAGATCGTGAAGGAGAGGTCCAAAAACACATAGGATTTTCAACATTCTTGCTTCAACGATTCAAAAACACAATGTATTTTGAATGATTCTGAGCTCCTCTATAGGAGAATCGCTGTTTCGCCTGAGACATCCTCCCCAAATCGGGCCTTTGTCGAGCCATCTTTGAGCAACCTGGCCGTTTCGCTACGGACATCCTCGAAACTCAGAAACTGGGGGGCACCCCTAACGCAGATCGTGAAGGAGAGGTCCAAAAGCATATTGGATTTTGAGTATATCCACCTCCCTCCTTCAGAGACGCCACACCAGAATCCCCATCCAAGAGGAAAGCACCATGCACGCTAGGCTCAAATCCCCGGCCGCACCGGGAACATCCACCCGTCGCACGGACGTCCGCCCAGCACGTTAGGCCAAAAACCCCGGCCGCGCCGGGAGCATCCACCCTTCGCACGGACGTCTGCCCAGCACGTTAGGCCAAAATCCCCGGCCGCATTGGGCGTGCTGCAACAACAAGCGGCATACACGTCGGGGTTGCGAATGACGTCAGCAACGTCAGGCCAAAATCCCCGGCCGCGAGGACCACCCTGCGTGGAGAATCCGAAGCGCCCGCTTCGACTAAAGGGCTGCAACACACCAGAGGCAACACAGCCCACCCGCTGCAGAGACGCCACACCAGAATCCCCATCCAAGAGGAAAGCACCATGCACGCTAGGCCCAAATCCCCGGCCGCACCGGGAACATCCACCCGTCGCACGGACGTCCGCCCAGCACGTTAGGCCAAAAACCCCGGCCGCACCGGGAGCATCCACCCTTCGCACGGACGTCTGCCCAGCACGTTAGGCCAAAATCCCCGGCCGCACTGGGCGTGCTGCAACAACAAGCGGCATACACGTCGGGGTTGCGAATGACGTCAGCGACGTCAGGCCAAAATCCCCGGCCGCGAGGACCACCCTGCGTGGAGAATCCGAAGCGCCCGCTTCGACTAAAGGGCTGCAACACACCAGCGGCAACACAGCCCACCCGCTGCAGAGACGCCACACCAGAATCCCCATCCAAGAGGAAAGCACCATGCACGTTAGGCCAGAATCCCCGGCCGCACCGGGAGCATCCACCCGTCGCACGGACGTCCGCCCAGCACGTTAGGCCAAAATCCCCGGCCGCACCGGGAGCATCCACCCGTCGTGCGGACGTCCGCCCAGCACGTTAGGCCAAAATCCCCGGCCGCACTGGGCGTGCTGCAACAACAAGCGGCATACACGTCGGGGTTGCGAATGACGTCAGCGACGTCAGGCCAAAATCCCCGGCCGCGAGGACCACCCTGCGTGGAGAATCCGAAGCGCCCGCTTCGACGAAAGGGCTGCAACACACCAGAGGCAACACAGCCCACCCGCTGCAGAGACGCCACACCAGAATCCCCATCCAAGAGGAAAGCACCATGCACGTTAGGCCAAAATCCCCGGCCGCACCGGGAGCATCCACCCGTCGCACGGGCGTCCGCCCAGCACGTTAGGCCAAAATCCCCGGCCGCACCGGGAGCATCCACCCGTCGTGCGGACGTCCGCCCAGCACGTTAGGCCAAAATCCCCGGCCGCACTGGGCGTGCTGCAACAACAAGCGGCATACACGTCGGGGTTGCGAATGACGT